TTCGCTTGACGAAGGATTCTGTTCGAAGCGAGGAGCCGAAAAACGTTCGTCACTTCGATCTGACATTGTTTTTTAGTTTTCCGTCGCTCGGAGAAGATTGGTAACCGCTTTGTGCGAAAACGTGACCATATTGGCGGTCATGCGGACCCAAACGCGACAATAACAACGCGGTGCTCGATAGCAAACTGCACGGCGTTCTCACGTGCGAGTCACGCAGGATGTCTCGTGACATCGAGAATCCTCGATTTTGTCGACACAAAGAGCGGCGCCCTGGACGGATCGCAAACATTCCGCCCACCTTGAAACGCTTGTTTCGAACTCCGCTTTTTTGGCCCCTACTTGGTCTCGCAGTGGACCGGCAGCAGGCAAATCTTTACGATAGGCCTTTGAAGGGTGGAGTTGGCGGTGCGGACGGTAACCACCCGAGTGAGCCCGTCGGGACCGGGGTGACACTGCGTCACTCGCCCCAACTCCCACTTGCACGGCGGCAAGGTGGTATTGCGGATCAAGACCATGTTTCCGACCTGGATAGACGGCTGCACCTTCCGCCATTTTCCTCGTTGCTGTAGAGTGTTCACATAGTCGTGATACCACACCCGCCAAAAACGCTCGGTCAGCTGCCGCACGAGTTGCCACCGGGTCAACCGGTTCTCCGATATGTGGAGAGTCGACGGCGACGGAGGCAGACCGAGGTCGGACCCGACGAGCAGATGACCGGGCGTGAGCGGCTCGTAGTCATCGAGCGAGTCGGAAATTGGCGCGATCGGTCTTGAGTTAAGACACGCCTCAATCCGACAGAGCAGAGTAGCGTACTCCTCGAAGGTCAGAGTGCAGCTCCGCAGTACGCGACGCACGTGGTGCTTGACGCTTTTAATGCCGGCCTCCCACAACCCCCCGAAATGTGGCGCGGCTGGAGGGATGAATCTCCAGTTGGTTCCATCGAGCGCGGTGGAACTTAGAAAGTTCGGGTCGCGGAGCGCTGCCCGATAGGCCACGGTCAGCTCACGATCGGCTCCGACGAAATTGGTGCCGTTATCCGAGTAAACGGTGTTGGGTATTCCCCGACGAGCGGCGAACCGAGAAAACGCTTTCAAAAATGCCCGAGTCGAGTAATCGCATACGAGCTCCAGGTGCACGGCGCGAGAGGCTAAACAGATAAATAGAGCGATGTACGCCTTCCGCGTCGCTATACCTCGTCCTGCAGAGGCACGCACGAGAACCGGCCCGGCATAATCGACACCGCAATGTGCGAAACAGCGAGCCGGAGCTGATACTCGGACACGTGGGAGGTCCGCCATAATCTGGGATGGCACGGCGGCGCGCTCGCGAGCGCACACCACGCAGCGGTGTATTTGCTCCCGCACAACGCCCCGACCCCGAATCACCCAAAAGTCGCGCCGAACGATGCTCAGGGTCAGCTGCACGCCGGCGTGTAGCCCACGTACGTGAGCATGATCGACGATCTGTTTCGTGATACGATGCGACGCGAGCAGAATCGGATGACGCCGAGTCCAAGGCAGGGGAGCGCGCGATATCCGACCGCCGACGCGGAGAAGACCCTCCTCATCGAGAAACGGTCGAAGCGCGAGAATCGAGCTCTTCGACGGTAATTCCAAGCGATTCGCGAGCCTGTGCAGTTCCTTTGGGAACAACGCAGCTTGGATCTGCTTCAATAGTCGCGTACGCGCCCCCGAACACTCGCCCGCCGTGACGCCCGGGCCCGCTGGCTCACCGGATGAATCTCCCGTAAGACGGCGACGACATCGCGCGATAAAGCGCATGATGTACGCGGTAACGCGAACCAACTTTGGCCACGAAGAATAGCGCTCGAGGAGCAGCGAGTTGAGCGATGCGGGTTCAGTGGCGAGGTGCGTCACGACCCTTTCCTCGCTCAGCGCCTCCGCAGCCGAGGCATCCCCGAAGGATGGCCAAGCGTTTGGCGGCGACGTCAACCACGACGGGCCTCGCCACCAGAGATCGTGCCCGAGAATTTCCAGGCCGAGCAACCCGCGCGACGCGCAATCAGCGGGATTGTCGGCCGTCGGAACATGCCGCCATTGAACGCGCGGGAGGCGCGCGTGCACCTCCGCCACCCGATTCGCGACGAAGGTCCTCCATCGTGATGGGTGCGCCGCCAGCCACGACAACACGACCGTTGAGTCAGACCAACAGCAGCATGTTGCATCGTCGTAACCTCCTGCCGTCCGCACGAATTCGACGAGACGCGAGAGGAGCACGGCGGCCGAAAGTTCGAGACGCGGGATGCTCATTGGCTGCAATGGAGCGACGCGTGATTTGCCGCTGAGCAATGTGATGATCACTTGACCTGAGTGCGTCGTTAGTCGCAAATAAACAACGGCAGAGTACGCGGAGTTAGACGCGTCCGCGAATCCATGCAGCTCCGCGCGTCGAATGTCGCGCCCGAATCCGGTCCATCGCGGAATGCGTAGTCCATCCAAGGCGGATAGATTCGAGAATATTGCCCGCCAGCGCGACGCCAGCATCTCGGGAATCGGGTCGTCCCATTCAAGTTGCCGTCGCCACAAGTGCTGCATAAAGATTTTGGCGCTGATCGTGATCGGAGTGACCCATCCGAGTGGATCGTACAGTTTGGCGATAGTCGATAAAATGGAGCGCTTGCTCTCGGGGACGCAAGCTGGCAACGACACGCTGATTTGAAAATTGTCTCCCGCGGGCGTCCAAGTGATCCCGAGAATCTTTACGCTCTCATCAATCGCGAGTGATCTGGTGCACGCGAGTCCATGATTCGCCTCATCGATGTCTGCGAGAAGTGCGGCTGAATTCCCGGACCATTTACGAAGTTCGAAGCCGCCTCGCCGTAACAATGCTGTGAGCTGATTCCGGATTTCGATCGTTTGCCCGACGTCGTCGCTCCCGAATAGTACATCGTCGACATAAATGTTGTTTTTCAAGAGCGGAGCGGCGAGAGGGAAATCGCCTCCGTCATCAATCCTCAATTGCTGAAGGACTCGCAATGCAAGAAACGGAGCACAGGACATGCCGTAAGTCACGGTCATTAATTGATATTCACGCGGCTCGTCGTCCGGCGCCGGGTGCCACAAGATCCTCTGATAGTCGACATCGCGGGGATCGAGCTGAATTTGTCGATACATTTTTTCGATGTCGGCCGAACACGCGTATTTGAAATTACGCCATCGCAGCAGTACGGACGATAAGTCGGTCTGCAGCTTTGGCCCGGCGATCAAATGGTCGTTTAAACTCGAGCCGTTAGTCGTCGGACTCGATGCGTTAAAAACTACACGCAATTTTGTCGTGGCGCTATGAGAACGAAAGACTGGGTGATGCGATATGTATGCGACTTGCGAAGACGCGTCTGAAATCTCCGGTGCGCGTCTCATGTGTCCGCTGAGTTCGTATTCGCGCAAAAACTCGTCATATGCTAGTCTTTGTTCCGGCTTTGTTTGTAAACGACGCGTAAGTGCGGCAAGGCATCGCACGGCGCGCGAACGCGAGGATCCGATATCGATCGGCGGTCCGCTGCGAAACGGCAAGCGGACGACGTATCGACCTTCCACCGTTCGCGAATGTGTCGAGACGAAGTGTCCCTCGCACCGCTCGTCGTCGGGCGTCCGCTCGACGGCTCGCGGAACCTCCTCGACTTCCCAAAATCTCCTCACCTCATCCTCGAGTGAAATCTCGGCCTGACAATGATGCGCCGAAATTACTACGCTCGACGCCTGAGTAGCGAGCGCGCACGCCCGCACCCTAGGCGCAGAAGCCCGGGTGATCGGACCTGATATAAACCACCCGAACACCGAGTTCTGCGCCATGAGCTGACCGTCGCCTCCTCGGCGAAGGCCCTCGCGAACAATATCGCTATAGAGATCCGCCCCGATGATCAAATCGATTGGATCCGAGCTGAGCGGATTCGGATCGGCCCAGCGCAGATCCGCGAGATGCGTCAAGCACGACGCATCCGCCTCGCAATGCGGAGCATACGTCGTGAGCGATCGCAATATTAACGCGGCGGTGAGCAACGCCGGAGTTTCCGCTCCTCGGGGCGAGACGATGATCTCGATCGCATGCCGGAAAGTCCCCGCGTTGACGCATCCCACAGCGGAGACGGCGACCGGACGACGGAGTCTTTTCGCGCGCAACGCTTTAGCAAGCTTCTCGGAAGCAAAAGTCATCTCGGATCCCTGATCGAGCAGAGCGCGAACGGTCACCGATCGACCGCACGACGCCCGGACCGTCACCCACGCAGTGGCCAAGAGAACGCGAGCGGACCGAGTCCGGTCGTTCGAAGCGAGCAACGCGTGAACCTCCGCTCGAGATCCGGCGGACGACTCACGCACCTCCGTCGCAGCGTGCGATTCGGCAGTGCCGCCACTGGAATCCGCAGCAGCGTGAAGCAGCGAATGATGTCGTTGCGAACATGTGCGGCACGAATATTTACTTTTGCACTCATGCGCGGCGTGATTAGCGCTGAGACAATTGAAGCATCGCCGGTGCTTCTTTACTAGCTCTCGTCGCTGCTGCGAGCTCCCGCGGACAAAGATCGGACACGCACTGAAGTAATGACCAGCCTTACACAGCGGGCAGCGCGATTTCGCGGCCGGCGCGTCGATTGCGAGATGAACTCGCGATATCGGAACGGCTTTAGCGCTCGCTTGAGTTCTATCTCCGCTCGAGAATTCCTCGAGCGCCCGGATGCGCGAGGCAAGAAACCGCTCGAATTCGTCGAAGGTCGGCGGTTCAGAATTTTCGGTAGTTCGCAAGTTCCACGCCTTTCGCGTGACCGGATCCAAGCCTCGCGAGCCGATATGCACGAGAATATCGTTCCACAATTGTTCGTTCGATCGCTGCAGATTTCTCAGCGCGGCTACAGTCACGGTGATTTGTCCGCGAAGCGACTGGAGGTCAGAAACGGACTCGCGCGAGAGCGTCGGCAGACTCAACAAGGTTGACATGTGAACGGAAATCAACCGTCGCTTGTTGTCATAGCGTGCCTTTACTGCGTCCCAAGCAATCTTGAAGTTATCGGCGGCGATCGTGAGGTTCGCTATGCAATCCGACGCGCGACCCCGCAAGCAAGACGACAGATAATGCATGCGCGAGAAATCATTTAATTCTTTATTTTCGATGATGATCGCGGAAAATCGATCGCGGAATGGTTCCCAGTCCGTCAGCGTCCCGTCGAACGGCGCGAGCTGAATCGGCGGCAGATGCGCTTGAGACAACGCAGACGGCGCGTGCCGAGCATACGATGCGTTAATAGATTGGTTCGGGCTTACAGGGGGTTCCAGCTCCTCCAATACCTCAGCCATGTAATCCAGCGTGATGTTGTACTTCTCCTCGGTAGCGTCAAATACGTCGTCGGTGAAGTAAACGATCTGCGCCCGGCGGTCCGGCGGGATCGTCTTTTCCAAGACGGCGTGCCCATCGAGGAACTGCAGCCAGATTTCCTTCAGTGTTTGGATCCTGGATCGTGTGACCGCAGGCGTCCATTTGTTGCGTCCTAGCTTCTTGAAGTTGTCGAGAGCGGCGTTTAATTGATGCTGCAATCGTCCTTGTCGTTCCATGGATGCAGACTGGCGGAACTCGGCTTCTCGATGTGCTCTCTTCCTCTACTCCCCGATCCGGCTCGAAGGACCAGCAATATTTTGTTCGCTCCTTGGCGAAGCGAGCAAGAGGCCGGGACGGCTCAGCAATGAGCGCGGGGTTGGTCGTGAAAGGAAGATGATCGTCGCTTTGGTTTCTAGTGGGATCGGTCCTCCGTTTCCTTCCTAACAAGCGTCGACGTTCGTCGAGGCGCTGGGAGGCCAATGCTCGCCAGTTCAAACGCGAGCACCACTCGAACACGATCCCAGTTTTATTATAAACAAAAATAATACAAAATAAACTTTGACGATTCTAGTCGATTGATCGTATGAAGCGCGTCCGCTCGAATCGCAATGCGTTGAGGCCGCACTCGTAGTTCGTCTGATGAGGTCCGACCGGAGGGGTCGGGCAGCGAATCTGATAACCGAACGAACAACGGAGCGGAACGAGTTATAAAAATACTTGCGAGCGGTTTCGCTTGACGAAGGATTCTGTTCGAAGCGAGGAGCCGAAAAACGTTCGTCACTTCGATCTGACATTGTTTTTAGTTTTTCCGTCGCTCGGAGAAGATTGGTAACCGCTGTTGCCGAAAACGTGACCATATTTGGCGGTCGCATGCGGACCAAACGCGACAATAACAACGCGGTGCTCGATAGCAAACATGCACGGCGTTCTCACGTGCGAGTCACGCAGGATGTCTCGTGACATCGAGAATCCTCGATTTTGTCGACACAAAGAGCGGCGCCCTGGACGGATCGCAAACAGTCCTGTATCAACCCTATTCTCACCATAAATCTCGACTCTCAATTCCCAGTAGAAGCGGAGATATGAACATTTAAATTCAAATTTCAATTAAAATTAACTTAAAATTTAAAAATGTAACCTTCGGTATCTCCTAAACGGCTCAAGATACAGGAACGCGCTTTTGCCTCAATATAGTCCTGTATCAACCCTTTTCTCACCATAAATCTCGACTCTCAATTCCCAGTAGAAGCGGAGATATGAACATTGTAACGGCCGAACTCCGCGGTTCGGTCGCTGCTACGCGTTTCGCGCGGATAAGGCTCGTCGGAGTCCGGGTTCGGTGAGGAGGAAAGCGGAAGGCAGAGCGAAACGGTCCGGATATTCTCTCTTTCGGCATAAGGCGTCTCGATCGAATCGGCGGTACGGATCGTTCTGGTGAGTAGGAGCTCGATCGCCGCCGTTTTATAGTTGTTCGCGCTACGATTGATACGGCGGCGATCGAGCGGCGCGCCTATCGGCGCGAGGCATGATGACGGCGCGTGATCGCGGCCGCGCGCGCTAGCGGCAGCGCGTGAACGCCGCGGCGCGCGATAGCGGCGGCGCGTGATAACGGCGGCGCGATCGTCTTCGTTAATTTAGGGTGGCGCAAAGCGCCGTTCTTCGGCCCGACAGGTGGTCGGTCGGGCCGGTAGTAACGAGGTGCATCTGCGCCTCGTTACAACATTTAAATTCAAATTTCAATAAAAATTAACTTAAAATTTAAAAATGTAACCTTCGGTATCTCCTAAACGGCTCAAGATACAGGAACGCGCTTTTGCCTCAATATAGTCCTGTATCAACCCTATTATCACCATAAATCTCGACTCTCAATTCCCAGTAGAAGCGGAGATATGAACATTTAAATTCAAATTTCAATTAAAATTAACTTAAAATTTAAAAATGTAACCTTCGGTATCTCCTAAACGGCTCAAGATACAGGAACGCGCTTTTGCCTCAATATAGTCCTGTATCAACCCTATTCTCACCATAAATCTCGACTCTCAATTCCCAGTAGAAGCGGAGATATGAACATTTAAATTCAAATTTCAATTAAAATTAACTTAAAATTTAAAAATGTAACCTTCGGTATCTCCTAAACGGCTCAAGATACAGGAACGCGCTTTTGCATCAATATAGTCCTGTATCAACCCTATTCTCACCATAAATCTCGACTCTCAAGTCCCAGTAGAAGCGGAGATATGAACATTTAAATTCAAATTTCAATTAAAATTAACTTAAAATTTAAAAATGTAACCTTCGGTATCTCCTAAACGGCTCAAGATACAGGAACGCGCTTTTGCCTCAATATAGTCCTGTATCAACCCTATTCTCACCATAAATCTCGACTCTCAATTCCCAGTAGAAGCGGAGATATGAACATTTAAATTCAAATTTCAATTAAAATTAACTTAAAATTTAAAAATGTAACCTTCGGTATCTCCTAAACGGCTCAAGATACAGGAACGCGCTTTGGCCTCAATATAGTCCTGTATCAACCCTATTGTCACCATAAATCTCGACTCTCAATTCCCAGTAGAAGCGGAGATATGAACATTTAAATTCAAATTTCAATTAAAATTAACTTAAAATTTAAAAATGTAACCTTCGGTATCTCCTAAACGGCTCAAGATACAGGAACGCGCTTTTGCCTCAATATAGTCCTGTATCAACCCTATTCTCACCATAAATCTCGACTCTCAATTCCCAGTAGAAGCGGAGATATGAACATTTAAATTCAAATTTCAATTAAAATTAACTTAAAATTTAAAAATGTAACCTTCGGTATCTCCTAAACGGCTCAAGATACAGGAACGCGCTTTTGCCTCAATATAGTCCTGTATCAACCCTATTCTCACCATAAATCTCGACTCTCAATTCCCAGTAGAAGCGGAGATATGAACATTTAAATTCAAATTTCAATTAAAATTATCTTAAAATTTAAAAATGTAACCTTCGGTATCTCCTAAACGGCTCAAGATACAGGAACGCGATTTTGCCTCAATATAGTCCTGTATCAACCCTATTCTCACCATAAATCTCGACTCTCAATTCCCAGTAGAAGCGGAGATATGAACATTTAAATTCAAATTTCAATTAAAATTAACTTAAAATTTAAAAATGTAACCTTCGGTATCTCCTAAACGGCTCAAGATACAGGAACGCGCTTTTGCCTCAATATAGTCCTGTATCAACCCTATTCTCACCATAAATCTCGACTCTCAATTCACAGTAGAAGCGGAGATATGAACATTTAAATTCAAATTTCAATTAAAATTAACTTAAAATTAAAAAATGTAACCTTCGGTATCTCCTAAACGGCTCAAGATACAGGAACGCGCTTTTGCCTCAATATAGTCCTGTATCAACCCTATTCTCACCATAAATCTCCACTCTCAATTCCCAGTAGAAGCGGAGATATGAACATTTAAATTCAAATTTCAATTAAAATTAACTTAAAATTAAAAAATGTAACCTTCGGTATCTCCTAAACGGCTCAAGATACAGGAACGCGGTTTTGCCTCAATATAGTCCTGTATCAACCCTATTCTCACCATAAATCTCGACTCTCAATTCCCAGTAGAAGCGGAGATATGAACATTTAAATTCAAATTTCAATTAAAATTAACTTAAAATTTAAAAATGTAACCTTCGGTATCTCCTAAACGGCTCAAGATACAGGAACGCGCTTTTGCCTCAATATAGTCCTGTATCAACCCTATTCTCACCATAAATCTCGACTCTCAATTCCCAGTAGAAGCGGAGATATGAACATTTAGATTCAAATTTCAATTAAAATTAACTTAAAATTTAAAAATGTAACCTTCGGTATCTCCTAAACGGCTCAAGATACAAGAACACGCTTTTGCCTCAATATAGTCCTGTATCAACCCTATTCTCACCATAAATCTCGACTCTCAATTCCCAGTAGAAGCGGAGATATGAACATTTAAATTCAAATTTCAATTAAAATTAACTTAAAATTTAAAAATGTAACCTTCGGTATCTCCTAAACGGCTCAAGATACAGGAACGCGCTTTTGCCTCAATATAGTCCTGTATCAACCCTATTCTCACCATAAATCTCGACTCTCAAGTCCCAGTAGAAGCGGAGATATGAACATTTAAATTCAAATTTCAATTAAAATTAACTTAAAATTTAAAAATGTAACCTTCGGTATCTCCTAAACGGCTCAAGTTACAGGAACGCGCTTTTGCCTCAATATAGTCCTGTATCAACCCTATTCTCACCATAAATCTCGACTCTCAATTCCCAGTAGAAGCGGAGATATGAACATTTAAATTCAAATTTCAATTAAAATTAACTTAAAATTTAAAAATGTAACCTTCGGTATCTCCTAAACGGCTCAAGATACAGGAACGCGCTTTGCCTCAATATAGTCCTGTATCAACCCTATTCTCACCATAAATCTCGACTCTCAATTCCCAGTAGAAGCGGAGATATGAACATTTAAATTCAAATTTCAATTAAAATTAACTTAAAATTTAAAAATGTAACCTTCGGTATCTCCTAAACGGCTCAAGATACAGGAACGCGCTTTTGCCTCAATATAGTCCTGTATCAACCCTATTCTCACCATAAATCTCGACTCTCAATTCCCAGTAGAAGCGGAGATATGAACATTTAAATTCAAATTTCAATTAAAATTAACTTAAAATTTAAAAATGTAACCTTCGGTATCTCCTAAACGGCTCAAGATACAGGAACGCGCTTTTGCCTCAATATAGTCCTGTATCAACCCTATTCTCACCATAAATCTCGACTCTCAATTCCCAGTAGAAGCGGAGATATGAACATTTAAATTCAAATTTCAATTAAAATTAACTTAAAATTTAAAAATGTAACCTTCGGTATCTCCTAAACGGCTCAAGATACAGGAACGCGCTTTTGCCTCAATATAGTCCTGTATCAACCCTATTCTCACCATAAATCTCGACTCTCAATTCCCAGTAGAAGCGGAGATATGAACATTTAAATTCAAATTTCAATTAAAATTAACTTAAAATTTAAAAATGTAACCTTCGGTATCTCCTAAACGGCTCAAGATACAGGAACGCGCTTTTGCCTTAATATAGTCCTGTATCAACCCTATTCTCACCATAAATCTCGACTCTCAATTCCCAGTAGAAGCGGAGATATGAACATTTAAATTCAAATTTCAATTAAAATTAACTTAAAA